TGAATGTCCAAGCATATGTAGCTGATACTATGGTCCTTTAGGAATACTCCACTTCCAGCCTGTTTCTCTGTATATGGATGACTGAAGCCCAGAGAGGTCCATGGCCTGCCTGAGCAATGCACAGTGAGTGAGGCAAGTCAGACCAGGAGCTCTGACTCCTATTCCTTTAGCTTCTGTGAGTCTGACCCTCCTCTCTTCTACCTCAAGACTCCTAACTCAGAGAAGGTTCAATCTCCAGCCTTCCTTTATTTCTATTCGTCTCTTAAACAAGGAGCTGGACTCATATTCTCTTGAGGAATAGCACCTTCCAGATTCCCATGTTCCTGTTGTTCACAGAAACCACAAAGCTGAGGCCAGGTACAGAGCACTGAGGTCAGAAAACCCTCAGAAAACTCTGAGCTCAGATCTTACTCCAGCAGTCAGAGCCATATGGCCCTGGGGATGTGGAAACATCTCAATTCCCCATGTGTTTGCAGTTGATATTGTTGGAAGTTATAATCATTCAGTGACAGGACACATACAAGCACCTGGCACAGTGTCTGGCATGCAGGTTCCAGGCAATAAACAGCAACTCTTATCAACACAGGATTCTGCTGAAAGGCCAATATCTTCTGACTACTGTGAGGTGGATTATCACCCTACTCTCAGCTAGTCCGGAATTCTTATGGACCTCTTGGGAGGTGCTAGCCCTTGCTTCACAGGCTTGGTATGGGGGAAGAGGTTGGTAGGCAGGACCTCAGCAGCCCCTGTGAGGTGGCCAGTGGGAGAACCCTAATTCCTTTTCTTTTTTTCTTCCTCTACTTTGAGGATTCTTTTCTCAGATAGAGTCTGATTTGTTGCCTCCCACTCTGTTTTCTCCTGTGTCAGCTTTCTCTTGTGACAAAACGTTGTAAATCAGTTTAAAGAAGTAAAGATGTATTTAGGCTCCAGGTTTCCAAGGCCTCATACTGCACCCAGCTGACTGTTACAATGGATGCATAGGAAGGTAGCCAGAGAATGCAATGGAGGAGCATGACCACCTCATGGATACTGGGAAACACACAGGAGGGAGAAAAATGCTGGTGACGAGACAGAATCTTCAAGTCCACGCCCTCTGTGACCCACTTTTTTCTAATCAGAGCTCATTTTCTATATTTTATCACTTCCCAATAGTCCATTCTATTTTGAATCCATCAATGTATTGATACACTGATTAAGTCAGAACCATCATAATGCAAACAGTTCCTAAAATTCCCATGTTTGAGAGTGCACTGAGGACTAAGTAATCAACACATGAGGCATTGAAACATTTTGAACACAAATTGCAGCACACCCTTATCCATTATCAGCTCACATCACAGACTCTCATCATGCCCTAACCCTCCCTAGCCACCCTGAGCCTAACTTACACCCTCTCCTCACATCAGTACCACAGATGTGGAGAAGCTACAGCTATCATTCCAGTTCTGTTAGTGTCTTGACCAACACACTTGGGCTCATGTCCCCAGAGAAAGTGCTTACACTCACATCCCAAAACAGGCTATTGACTGACAACCTACTGGCTTCTTCCAGGATTCTCAGTGGGCTCAATATGTTCTGACTCCAGGCCATATCAAGGAATGACCCAAATAGAGTTATTCATTCTGCCCAGTGTTCAGAGACCTTGGTCAGACAGCTACAACAGTACCCTCTTCAATGTGAGAATCTAGCTGGGAAGAAAGAAGAGGCTAGTTCAGGGGAGAGTTGGTCATTATGACCCTAAGACAAATTTCAACCCATCTTTTGGGAGTGGCTATGAAGAAGGGAAAAGAAGGAGATCCTAGTTACCATCCAGAATGTATTCACAGTGTTCCACTATTCCTGAAGCCCCTGGACAGCCATTGCTTCCTTTGCTCTTCCCATCAGTCCTGAGAAATAGATAAAGAGCAAAAGTAACAAAAATAATGTGGCTCTCTTCCAGACTACAGTTTAAAAATACTGTCAGCGTCAGTACACAGACAGCTTTGCTCTACCTCAGTTCTTGCCTTCTTCATCCCCACAATGCCTGCACCAAGGGGGCAGATAATCTGGGATGAAAGTTGGGGTCTGTATAGAGGCTTGGAAAATAGTAACATCTCTGTATATTCTTTCCAGTCATCCATCCGTGCAAGTCGAGGGACCATTGGTGGCTATTTCCTGGCTGGGAGATCCATGACCTGGTGGCCAGTAAGTTGACCTTCCTCCCTCCTCTCCCAGGACATACTCTCAGCTTTCACAGTCCACGGTCTTCTCTCACCTTTTCTTGCCAGAACTTAATCAGTATCCTCCTAATGATTTTCCCAACTCTGTATTCCTCTCTTGTCCCAATCCACCATCACTCTGACATGCCTCTTGTGTGTGTCACAGATGGTTCTCTAGGGGTTCTCTTGTTCTATCTAGAAAAAAAAATCAGAAGTGGAAAGGGGGCGTATTGATGATAGTACTCAACTCCAGAAGTTTGTAAGTTGGGATTACAACAGAAACTTACAGCTCTATACAATAGAACTGAAGTCTCATGACCCCAGAGACTTCTTGTTGTAGGTGAACAGGGCAAGGTTGTAGTTCTGAACTTGAAGCTTCAACACCCAGGGAGCAAATAGAGTTATATCTCTGAGCTTCGGGTGTTGAGCCCCTCAACTCTTCAGTCTTTTTGTGTCTCTCTCAAATGTTTTCATTGCTCCAGATTTACAGTGCTGTGCTCTCAGCTACCATACAGCTCTTAACAGCCTTTTTGGTTCTCAGTGGTCCCAGTACAGTCTTAAGTTTCTTGCAGTTCCTGACATCAATTTTTTGTGTAACTCTTCAACATAAGGTTCTGTGTCACAGCTTTGAACATCAGGGTCATTAGCTCTCAGAGGGTTCTGGAACTCAGCTGCTTCCTCACCACTAAAGGTGCTATGCTCTGTGCTCTAATATCTGTTCTTCATGCAACAAACCCAACATGTTCATTGAGTAGGAAAAGAGACCATTTAGGCCAAATATTTCAACACTGAGATGCAGCAGGGAGTTTTGGGGGATACACACAAGAGAAGTCTCCCAAACTAACTGAAAAAAAAAAGTGACAACTGATCAACTCATAGGCCAGAAAAGAAGTGAATCACATTTTACTCAGAATATAGTTCCCACAGTTACATCCTTGTATCTATACAGCTTCCAGTTCCACTAATCACACTCATTAGATAAGTATCAATCACAAGCCTCACACTGCACTAATCACAGACTTTTTCTGTGTCCCTGGAGAGATTCTCCTTCTCCTGTGTTACTTGAATAGCTATAGAATAAGTAGCCATCTATTGTTCACGAGTCTAGACTAGCCCAAGGTGTGCTCTTCCCAACTCAATGGATGTTTTCTGAAGTGGTCATGACCACAGCACAGCCTCCTAAAACAGCCATTTGTGACTTCTTCAGAACCATAGTTGCAGCGTCCATCTGAAGCTGCAGTTTTAGTCTCCTCAATGGATCCACACAGCATTGGAAGCAGCTGAGATACCACTATGACAGTCTGGCCAGTCACCCAATAGGACCTGCTCAATTGACAGCTGTCCAGTTAAGACATTCAGGCTTAAGAGAAGAATTTGTCAGCTGTCAGGCAAAGGACAAAGCAGCTCATACTCTCTCTTCACAGTTTTGCTCATTCACAGGAAAAAAGTTATAAGTTTTAAGAAATAAATATCCTTAATAGTGCTTGATGTGCTCAACTGTGTCCAAATACCCAGGGAGTCCTCTTTCTGTTTCCAAATGTGGGCCTCATGTTGGACACTGGACCTGTAGAAATATATCTGGAGTTTTCTGCTATAGAAGTACAAAGGACTATGTAGGTATATAAACTTATATGAACAATATAATCAAACCTGGAGTAGAGGAGGCACTGAGGTTACCCATTGTTTGATAAAGTTTCTGGGTCTCAGGCTATGAGTAGATAGGAAGTAGGAATCATTTTCTTGAAAGATTGACACCTACACTTAATACTAAAGAACAGTGACGTGAGACTTATTCCAACAATCTCCAACAACAGATCCCAAGCATGTGTAAATCCCACCTCCCCTATCAGACCACACCCTGAATTTCTACTGATCCTTGAAAATTAACTTCCTCTTCCCAAAGTCAGATGAAGGGAAGTCAGGCCTACGTAGAAACCCAGTTATATCAAATGTACACACAAATTCTCACATACTCATACATTCTTACCTTCTCCCAGTTACACACCCATACCTTAAGGCAGACACACACACACTCATACAAGCCAACATTTACATATACTTGCACATAAGTACTGTCCCCACTCTCACACACTCATTCACATAATCACACACTTAACAACCCAACTCCAACATGCCCTCACCTACTCACTCACTCACTCACTCACTCACTCACTCTCTCTCTCTTTCATTCATTCACACTTGTAATACCTGCCATGTTTGCACCTCCATTTTGGTGATGCTCACCACTGCTCACATTCTGCTTGCTAAAGAGTAGAGAAAACCCTGACAGCCTTCAGTAGCCTCTAAAAGTTTTGGTTATCTGGAGCAGGAAGTCTAAGGACAAGGAACCTATGTCTGTTTAACATGATAGACTACGTGATCTGGGAACCTGGAATCTCACAGCGATAATGAAAAATGACTTGTGCTTCCAGCTGTGACCTTATGAGGAGAAAGAAGAACCCCTGGAAATCATCCACTTACTTAGCTAATGCCTCAAAAACACAGCCTCTAGCTGCTTCCTTTGTTAATGGTCCTAAGCTCAGAAGTTAGTTAGCTTCAAACTAACTCTGACCCCTGACCCTTAACCTCACTTGTGCCTTGCAGATTGGAGCATCTCTAATGTCCAGCAATGTGGGCAGTGGCTTGTTCATTGGCCTGGCTGGAACAGGGGCTGCCGGAGGCCTTGCAGTCGGTGGCTTCGAGTGGAATGTAAGAAAACTTACCTGACTGCTCCAGAGTGCTGAGGGTCAGAACCATCTCCTGTGTCTGACCTTAGAGATGAAAGATGTCTTGGAAGAACTTGGGTGGCTATGTAGTAAACTGAAGACCCATTATATTGATAATGAAATCAAGGCTTTAATAAGTAAAAAAGACTTAAAAAGACTAAGCTGAAGTTCTCCAGAAAAGCTGGGATGAGGACCCAGGTCCTTCATTTCCTTGTTCAAGGCTCTTGCATACAACATACTATCCTCAGGTGGGAAGTTCATTTTTTTTTTCCTACAATCAAAGTACCTTCTCTATGTTCTTCCAGGCAACCTTCCTGCTTCTGGCCCTAGGCTGGATCTTTGTCCCTGTGTACATCGCAGCTGGTGTGGTCACCATGCCACAGTACCTGAAGAAACGATTTGGGGGACAGAGGATCCAGGTGTACATGTCAGTCCTGTCTCTTATCATCTACATCTTCACCAAGATATCGGTGGGTATGATTTCAAGTTGGATTTTTACTGTGGGCATTATGCTGAGCTCATTCATGGCAAGGAAGGGGGGAGAGGGAAATGGAGAGAGGAATGAATGGAGAGAGGGAATAAAATAAAAGTATAGGTGGATGAAATGAGTGTTAAAAGAAAGATCCAAGGATCGACATGACCTCAGAGAATGCCTCCATCCACAACTGGAACAATCAGAAATGAAGGATAAATGTTTTAAGTAAATATTGATCTTTCATTCAAAAAACTATCAAACTAGAGCATGTTGTTTCATCTTTTTACTAACTTATGCTTCTTTATTCAGCATCTATTAATAGCCTAGAATGTTGGAATCCGAAAAATTTCTACTGTCACTTTATTGAACTTAATTTAAAAAACAAAACTAGACATGTTATGTGAATCATCCAAGTCTACACAGAGGAAGGACTAGATTTGGAATCAGAATTGGATCTTGACTAATATACCACCAGATAGAGAGTTAACACACATACATACACACATACACACACACACACATCACACACAAACAGAGAGAGAGAGAGAGAGAGAGACAGAGAGACAGAGAGAGAGACAGAGAGACAGGGAGACAGAGAGAAACAGAGAGACACACACACAGACACAGAGAGACACAGACAAAGACACACACGCACAGACACACACACACATACATACAGACACATAAACACACTATCATATTATAGATTCTGAAATCAGTTTATAAACAATCACGTAATGGGCTGAACAAATGGGTTGAAGGGAACAGAATTAAGGGAACAGAATTAACCAGGTGCTAGAACTAGCAATCAAATTACTTTGAGGACCAACATTGTTTCACTAAGGCAAAACCTATACCCCAAGTCCCACAATAAACCCATGCACATAGATTATCCAGAATCTATGTTTGCCTGGCCAGCCAGCCCAGCATGCCTATGCTATGTCATGGAGCTGCCAGCAACCTGCACTGCTTCTACTCTCTCCTTCCATATGTTGTCTTCTCCATTCCCAGCTTCTAGCCTTACCTCCTCCATCTTCTACTCTCATTCTTAACCTCCCTTTCATAATAGACAAACAAACTATTCAGGCTTAGCTGATTTGATTTTTAATCAAGGCATTATACAGTATTATTTCCCTCTAAATTCTACCATGCCTCCATGTCTGCAACGGTCAAACCCACATTCTCTAGTGTGGCACTCTAACACCAAGACCAAACTCATCAGCATGGCATTTCAGTCTTGTCTCCATTGTTTGATGACAGCTGAGGACAGGCTGAGGACACCTGCCAAGGTATGTGACACACCCACACCAATCATCCTGGAAGCATTGGGTGGCATGGACTTATGGGTGCTGTTGTTTTACAGACTGATATCTTCTCTGGAGCCCTCTTCATCCAGATGGCTTTGGGCTGGAATCTCTATCTCTCCACAGTCATCTTGCTGGTGGTGACAGCTGTCTATACCATAGCAGGTAAAAGGGGGAAAGGACCATATTGCTATGTAGAGACAGTGAGGTGAGGAAGGATGCTTTTCACTGAGATAGATACAGAAAGAGAATGATAGAGGCATGCAGAAGACATGTGATCCAGAGAGAGACAGTAAGAGAAAGAGACACAGAGACAAACAAATGAAGACAAACATGTAAGATGAGAGAGCTCCCAGAGAAAGGTGAAAAGACAGTACAACAAAAGGGGGTACAAAGTACAGAGATGAGAAATCCACTCCACAAAGACAAGAAATGAGAGAGATGTGGTGTCCTGCTGAGGACAGGCTGCACAGGGATGAAGTAGAAAATCAGTGAACTACAGTCTGGGCCATGACTACTGTCTCAAAAGACACAAACCCACTCTGCTCTGGTACTCTGCCACAGCAGCCCAGGACATAACAATGTATTACTAAGTTAGTTGTCTTTGAATGATGGGGCCATTTATGTGGGCTTTGAGAAGGAAAGCAGAGAGCCTGGGTATATGAATGGCAAGAAACAGAGTGTTGATGGTATACTGACCAGACCTTGCCAGGGACAAAAGTAATTACATCAGAACTCAGTGGTTTGTAACCAGCCTCCATCGTCCTTAGGTGGAAGAAGGACGGGGAGAGGGAGGGGGAGGGAGGGAGGGGGAGAGAGAGGGGGGAGAGAGAGGAGAGAGAGAGAGAGAGAGAGAGAGAGAGAGAGAGAGAGAGAGAAAGAGGAGAAATAAAGAAGAATCTGTCACTAGGGTTCCCTGCTAAGAGGTCTCTTTGTCTTCTCTGGTCTCCCATTGTATCTAAACACAGGAGTAGGTCATAGAGAAACCTCCCATTGATGCTGACTGGTATATCTTCTCCTTGGGTACCCAGGGGGCCTCACAGCTGTGATCTACACAGATGCCCTACAGACCGTGATCATGGTAGGGGGAGCCCTGGTCCTCATGTTTCTGGGTAAGAAAGAGGTCTATCTAAATAACCCCCTCTTGATCCCTAGAACTTTTCAAAGCCCAAAGTCATATACATTTTCTAAGTCAACACTCCCTAAAATCGAGGTCTTCACTACTCCAAAACCCAAAGCCCAGCAGCCCCTAGTCTTTTTGTTTTTTTTTTATTAATCATTCCATTTTTTTATATCTCAAATGATATCCCATTTCACTGTCACCCCTCCACAAACCCTTATCCCACATCCAACCTCTCCCCCATCCCCTTTGCCTCTATGATGGTGCTCCCCCACCCATCCACCCTCTCACGCCCTACCGTTCCAGCATACCCCTATGCTGGGGCATCACACCTCCAATTTTTTTAATCAGTTCAAACTAAGAAACTCACATAGGACTAGGAGTAGAGCCTCAAGCCATTTCTCACACTATGTCTCTCCCACAGGCTTTCGGGAGGTTGGGTGGTACCCAGGCCTGCAGCAGCTTTATAGACAGGCTATTCCCAATGCCACAGTTCCCAACACCACCTGTCACCTCCCACGACCTGATGCCTTCCACATGCTTCGAGATCCTGTGAATGGGGACATCCCTTGGCCAGGTCTCATTTTTGGTCTCACAGTCTTGGCCACCTGGTGTTGGTGCACAGACCAGGTAATGTCCCCAGCCTCGCTTGGCCCAACAGGGGCTTCCTGAAAACCAATAAACAAATAAGCACTTCATTGTATAGAGGATTGGACATTATCCTGAGACTGAGTGGAGGCAAAAAGTGGCAAGTTGTGGGGCTCACCTGCACAGAGCTAAGCCCCTCTGACCCAGTGGCATATCCCCACTGCTACTATTTCAGGTGATTGTGCAGAGGTCTCTCTCGGCCAAGAGTCTTTCACATGCCAAGGGAGGCTCAGTGTTAGGGAGCTACCTAAAGATCCTCCCAATGTTCTTCGTTGTCATGCCTGGCATGATCAGCAGGGCCCTGTACCCAGGTAAGAGCTAATGATGCTCTCTGTGCATTGTGGGTTTTGCAAGGCATTTATGAAGACAGTTATTTCTGGGATAGGAAAGCTAAAGCAGGGGCTGGTAGGATTTCTCCCCAAGAGAACATTAAAAAAAAATTTAGACATGTTCAGACAACATCATCTTGCTCCCTTCTTTTACAGATGAAGTTGCCTGTGTGGACCCTGACATCTGTCAAAGAGTTTGTGGGGCCAGAGTTGGATGCTCCAATATTGCCTACCCCAAGCTGGTTATGGCTCTCATGCCTATGGGTGAGTCTCAGCTCCCACACCCCTTTCCACAACTCAGTACCTCCTCCAAGACTCACACCTAGGATGGACTGAAGTACAAATATATGGAAAGAGTGAAGAAAAAGATCCACATCTGTGATCACTCCAGCATCCTCACACACACTTCCTCAAGTTTTCCTAAGACTCCACTATGTGTTCCAAGTATTGAAGATGCAATACTAAAAGGCAGTTTCCTGGTCCAGGCTTTATGTGGTATCTAGAGACTATACCTGGATTGCCCAAGAGTCTAAGTCATGGTGACCAGGAGAGTCTAAAGGAGTTGTTGACCAAGCCTAGGGAGTGTCAGAAAGAATTATCCAAAGGAAGGAAGTCATGCTGAATCTTAAGAAACACCTTGTCAGAGACCAAGAGCATGTGAAACACCATTCCAGGAAGATAATGCACATGCGGATGACCAGGGCAGAAAGACCATACTATCAGCACGAAGGACAAATGAACACAGCCTTCCATGGGAATGCTATGGTCAAACACCATGCAGAGGAACCCCCTTTTCTCTGAGAGCAAAGAAAGGCACTGGGTACTGGGGGATTTTCATCCAAACATGAATGGTTTGATTGGTGGTTCCAAAGGACCACTATACTTGCAGGATTCATCATGGAGACAGACTATGATGGGGAAGGTCAAGAAAACTTAAGTGAGGATTCTGTAATGTTCCAGATAAGCAGCACTGATGATTTGACCAGACCAGTGGTTTTTTGTTTGTTTGTTTGTTAGGTTGATTGGTTGGGTTTTTGTTTTGTTTTGTTTTTATTGGACATTTTATTTATTTACATTTCAGATGTCATCCTCTTTCCCCATTTCTTCTCCCTAGAAACCCCCATCCCATCCTCCCTCCTTCTTATTGCTTTGATGCCATTTTAATTACATGCAAGTATTAAGATCAGTCCTAGGTTGAGGAACTAGCAATACAATAGAAGCAAATAGTCAAGGAGCAAGCAAGAAAAAAGTCAAAGAACAAGCAAGGCAATAAGCAAAGTTCCATGAACACTCCCATGATCACTGTTTCTAAGGGCTTTATCAGGATGGCCACAATATCTGAGCCTACTTCCCTGCCCTAGCCCAAAGTCATTTTCATATCTGGAGCCTACTTCCTTGTTCTAGCCTAAGATTTAGATTCCTACCTGAAATTATTTTTTTGTTCTAGCCTAATGTCAGATTCCTGCCTGAATGGCATATATAGATTGACCAGGCTAGCCCTTTTTGTCCTGGGAATACTTTTATTCCTGCTCATTGTGTGAAAGCTTGTCTTTAACAACATCAACATGTTGACAGCCAAAGTACATGGCTTGAAACTGAAAATGGACCCCCAGATAAAGTTATTAAATTATCAGACTGGCAAGCCAAAGACGGGTAAGATTCTGCACAAAACCTTACCAACCTAAGACATAAATGCATTGTCTTTGATAATGCATATTCCATGATGGTTAAGGAAGGCATTCCTGTCAGAATGACCTAAGACAAGCTCAGTCTTGTTATGAAACAAAAAGGGGGAGAAGTGGAGAGCTTTTGGGGCTGCTTGGCAAGAATCTGACATGGGCCAAGGACAAGAAAATGGGCTGCTTGACAGGAAGATGACATTGGCCAGACCAGTGGTTTTAAAGATGAGGAGATAGCATTTGAAGATGTTTGTGAAGTAATACTGACTAGATCTGATTACTCAGTATTCATTAGTGACTAAAAGGACAGAGACCCAAACATGGTTTCAATTCTTGATATTCAGAATGGTACTTCGTCAAGGAACTGGAAGGCAGAAAAAGCAGTTACTGCTTCCCTTTAGTAGTTACAGTCAGTCGAGGAAATAGCAGAGATAGTGAAAGTCCACCTAGGGCTGAGCAGTTAACAAAAAGAAGGAAGGGGGAGAAGTGAAAGAAGGGTCTAGGATAATGCTGACATCTGTGAGGGAAATCAGTAAGGCATTATTAGCCTAAGGGAAGCAAAGGACTGAGGAGGACACCTCAGTTTGGAACCCTTGAGCACTGAAGTGATCTCAAGGCTTCCAGGGAGACACTAAGACTTAGTTAACCATGCACATTTGAGGGAAAGAGGCCCTTGAAGGACTGGATATCTGCTGGGACTGGAGTCATCTCCCCAGTGTTGAAAGGTCATTTCCAGACGCTTGACCATCAGAAGTAGAGACTTTAAATATTAGTGTACCCTCCAATATTTCTTTTGTTCTAGTGAAAAAAAAATAGACGAGAAAAGAAAAGAAAGCTACTAGTCCACAGAGTTAGCTAGCTATCTACCAAGACAGGAAAAAGTCCAGATTTCTGTCTCCAAGGCTGAGACTTTCAAGTAATGACTATAACTTGATACAAAACATTTATTTTTAAAAGCATAGAAACATATCATAAACATTTGTAAATGCTAACAGCCACCCTCTTATTCCCAGCCTCAAAGATCCACTACTATCCACAGAAAGAAAGACAGCCATCAATACTGCATAAAACCTCCTATCATCTTGACTCACATACACCTTATGGTGCACAAGGCTCAGGAAGTACCAATGGGCCACCCAGGGCCCCAAAGCAGAGGCAGAGAATAGCCAAAACCTGGCCTCATGCACTGAAGGTCCCCTGATTCTGTATCTTCCCTAAATGAGACCCTCACTAGCACTCACAGCTCACCTTTCTCCCACCCCCAGATTCCTGGCTTTGTGTGACTCTGGGGTAACCCACATTGTCCTGGCTGAGCCTTTAAATGGACAGCTTTCCACTCAGCTCTGTCTCTCCCTAGGTCTGCGAGGCTTGATGATTGCTGTGATCATGGCTGCCCTCATGAGCTCACTCACCTCCATCTTCAACAGCAGTAGCACCCTGTTTGCCATAGATGTGTGGCAGCGCTTCCGCAGGCAGGCATCAGAGCAAGAGCTGATGGTGGTAGGCAGGTATGCAACCCATGATTTCAGAGGAACTCTCTCTCCTCTCCCATCCCTGCTTCCTGGGAAGACTGGCTAGTCTAGACCCTAGGCTAGCACTCAGGATAGTGGGTTCTGTGTGACTTCGCATTAAGCACACCGAACCGAAAATAATGCCACCTCCCAGAATAATGCCACCTCCCTCTTTGGAATACCAGGGCTCAGGGGTGTCTACCCTTACCTATTGTACTGCCTCTAGTACATGACCTCCAAGGTCACTGTGAGAGAGTAATGGATGTCACACAGTGTTTCTCAACCTAGCTTATACTGTGACCTTTTAATACGGTTCCTTGTGTTGTGGTGATCCCCAACCATAAAATTATTTTTGATACTTCATAACTGTAATTTTTCTACGATTATTAATCATAAGTATTTAGTATGCTGGATATCTGCTCTGTGACCCCTGTGAAAAAGTTATTTTTGATTGCCAAAGGAGTCATGACCCACAGGTTGAGAATCATTGGTGTAAACCCAGCCTGACAAAGTGTAAGTAGGCAAACATCTCAACCCCTAAAGTCTTTTGAGTCAGCTCTGCTGGAGACACGTGGATACATGACAGCCCAGCTCTCAGGGTATCCCCAGCTTACTATGAAGAGGGAACATCAAGGGACAGTGAAGTGCAGTCTTAAGGAAGATGTCCATAAAGAAGTTGTCTCTGAATGACCCACAAGCCTTGAACATCAAGCTGTGAGAGTTGAACTTCACCTTGAATTTAGCATTTCATGTTTTTAAAAGCATAACTTAGTTGTAAATGTTCTTAATCTCTGTAGACTTGGGATTCAGGGGTCACATAAGAGTAAAGGGCTGTGTTCTCAAATCTCTGCTTCACAATTCAAGTCTTCCTCGTTCTGGCTTTGGAACTAAAGAACACATTCCTCCTTGGTAGTTAGAGATGTGAGATTAGATACCTCTTCACACTCACTATCTGTTCCTCCTGTGTGTTTTGTTTCAGCTCTACAATCTGCTCATCTGCACACTGCCAGGCAGTGACCTAGCCTCTAAGAGTAGGACAGGAGAGGGAACTAGTAGCAAGGGGGAAACATGGGAAGTTACTGCTCTAACAGAGCCTGAGAAAGGCAAAGTGTGAGTAAAAAAAGAGAGGGGAAAAGTATTTCAGAAGTATTCCTCCTCTCTGCACCCCAAGGAGCCTATCATTCTCAATTAGTGTGAGTTTGGCGCCATCTCTTGGCCAAATGCATTACTGCAGCCAGTACATCCAAGAAAAGTCCATCAGGTTTGTGCATGTTTTTATAAAATCAGTCACCAAGAGTGGGGATCAGCTAAGAAGGAATAAAAAGAAGAAACAGAGACTCAGGGCCAATGAAAGGCTGTATCCATTCTAGAGAAGCAAGCCACTCTAGACAGTGCTGAGTGCAAAGAGGAGAAAGGCATCTTAAGAAGAGACTTCAACGCATGGCTGGGATGAAAGGTATATTTATTCCTCATTGGTGGACAGAACAACCTGAAGCCATCTAGTGAATGAAAACGAAGGTTTCTTGAATTCTAGAGTTCTGATTTCTAGGATCTTAACTGTCTAAATTTCTGCATCTTAATATTTGATATTCTAACCTACAGACCGTCTGTGGCCCAGGGACCACACACTTTCCCTTCCTCTCTCTCATGCACACTCTCATGATCACATGCATGTCACTCTCATAACCCTATGCTCTACCCACAGGTTGTTTGTAGTCTTCCTGGTCCTCATCAGCATCCTCTGGATCCCCATCATCCAGAGCTCCAATAGTGGGCAGCTCTTTGACTACATCCAATCTATCACCAGCTACCTAGCCCCGCCCATCACAGCCCTCTTCCTGTTGGCCATCTTCTGCAAGAGGGTCACTGAGCCTGTGAGTGAAATACCTTGCCCCTCCCCCACACATCACAAGGTCTAGGGTGACACTTTGTCACCCATCTTAGCCCAAAGCCTTAGGACTTTTGGCCAAGCCACTGCCTTCTCTAGGTTTTAAACTATTACCATGTAGTTAAGATTCTCTTGTGTGCCCAGTAAACACTTATCAACCCAGCTATGACATCAACAAGAATGTAATAGTTTACAAGGTTCACATGAGTCTGCCTTCTTGAGCAGACAGGAAAGAAAAATTAAGTAAGCAATAACATCAGAGAACAATGGCCTCTGTGAAGTGGGGAGCTAGTGAAGAGGTTCCTAAGAGAGGTGCAGGAAAGACTTCCTGGAGAGTACAGGAAGAGACTGCTGGAAAAGAGAGACTTGTGAAAGTTCAGGCCAGCCTGAGGTTCTGTGGTCTCTGCTGCATCTCTAAGCCTGTATCCTACGCATAAGTAAAGCAGCTGCAAGGACACCAGTGTTAACCCAATGTGAACTCCTGGGGTGATGCACACACAGCTGTCCTGTGGCTACACTAAATTCTGACAAATGTGAGAGGAGGGTAGAGATGCCAGGATGGGAACCTTGACTACATCTCAGGATAAAAAGAAGACACTGGCCTGAATCTTCTGGAAATGCCTTGGAAAATTAAAGGATGTCATGTTCATGACTCCACACAGTCAGTAAGAGAACTCAAGGTCATGACAAAGGCCATAATAGGAACCCTTCCCTTTATCCCTCCCTAAGCCATATGTCTACTACTTGCAAGATCCATTCTTGCTGACAACCACAGAACCCAGCAAGGGCTCATCAAATTCTGGGTGCTCTTGCTCATTCCAAAGTGCTGAATTCAAAATCAATATCTTATGCTGGGCAGTGGTGGCACACACCTTTAGTCCCAGCACTTGGGAGGCAGAGACAGGTGGATTTCTGAGTTCAAGGCCAGCCTGATCTACAGAGTGAGTTCCAGGACAGCCAGGGCTACACAGAGAAACCCTGTCTTGAAAAAAAAAAGGATCAAATCTCATACTGGGAAGAGGTGCAGCTTAAGAACACATGAAATTATAATTAATGTGAGGTCTGAAACTTTCTTTTATAAAAAGGAAGAGTGCAGCTCTGCTCTGATCTCTTATTCTCATAACAGAATTTTGCAAACAGGCTCCTAGTGTTCCTTGCTTGATAGAAAAACACACCTCATTCTATTTGAATATTGAGCATCTGTGACTCAGTACATGTCAATCTCTTTTTTCATTCCGAATAAGAAAACTCAGAGCCAGCATGCTCACATCAATGGGCTCAAGTCAACCCTGAAGCTCATATCCACCTCAGTATAATGCTGTCTGACTTTTAAGTCTAAACACAGAGTGTTGATGGGGAACTAGGTAAGATGGCCAGAATTTCCGCTGTGATAAACCAGTAGGAGAGAGATGTTAGAGTAGGGTGTCTCAGTTTCCTAGGATCTCCCCCAACTCACCCCAGTCTCTCTCCTCCCTGTCCATGTTTCCACTGTCCCCTTAGGGTGCCTTCTGGGGCCTCATGTTTGGCCTGGTAGTGGGAATACTGCGTATGATTCTGGAGTTCTCGTACCCGGCCCCAGCCTGTGGGGAGGTGGACAGGCGGCCAGCTGTTCTGAAGGACGTCCACTACCTGTACTTTGCCCTTCTCCTCTGTGGACTTACTGCAATCATCATTATCATAATCAGCTTCTTCACGGATCCCATCCCCGATGAAAAGGCAAGTGGTGTGGTTACTGGAAGCAATTTCTCTGCTTCTCGTGCCTGTAATCCTCCATTGAGTTTTATCCTGCTGGGGTATGGTCTCACCAGCTGCCAAGCAGGTATTTTTTGAAGGACATGCTCACTGGGGTATCAATTTTCAGGCAAAAAGTAACACATTCAGTTCAAAGTTACTCACTGTCTACACACTATGAGACAGGTGTGGTGCTAGGGTTACAAAGGTAAATGGTCCCTACCAACAATTGTCCCCAGGAAAGCGGATGCCAGCACAAACTGTTAACTACACAAAAAGGAAGTACAGAAGTATTAGGCTTAATGAGAGGGACTAAGCACAGGTATCCAGGAACAGGTGCACTAGCAATGTCTCTCTGAGTTGGATTTACTCAATTGAGTTTTATACAGATAGAGAAAGATATAAAAAGCTACATATATATAAAAATATATATTAGTTAAGAACAAAGTACATGAGAAACAAGAGAGCTCCCCATCCTCTGAATACTAATGTACAAGACACGTTTAAAGCCTTTCTCCTCCATCTTGTTTGGTTTACTAAGGCCACCAAAATTACTTATCACTGACTAGACAGCATAAACATCAAGAATATGTTACATCACCATCTGGAGCCTGGAAGCCTGGAGTCAAGGGAGAGGCAGGTCGCTTTCATCTGAGGGCCCCTCTGTGGCTTGGACATGGCCATCTTCTTCCTGAGTGTGCACATGGTCTTCTCTCTGTGTCTGTTTGGGACCTGATCCAAGTAGAGCCACCTCATCTTGCATGGATTACTTTCTAACAATACTATCACTATATGTAGCTATAATCTGAGATATGGGAGTTAAGACTTCAACATAGAAAGTCCAATAGGACACACGGTGGCCACTGACAAAGTCTATGGTAGAAGTTGGGCCCTAAAACATTGAGTGGCAGTCACTGATAATACTCCACCTGTGTGGTGCCTGTGAGCTTATACAATGATCATATGACTTCCCCAAACAAGAGGGGCTCTAACTGATGAACAAGTGAGGCTGTCTCTTGCTGTGGCCAGACATGACCTCCTGCTGCTGGGATCTCTGGTTTTCCCTTGTCTAAATTCTCACTCCCCATATCAAAGCCATTCCCACGTTAGAATCCATCCTAGGATCATCTCTGACACCACTGATGTTGAATACAGAGGTTGTGTTTTAGACCTTTGGGCCATTGAAAAAATGGGGAGATAATAAAGAGTTCAGATGCCATCTTTTTCTCTGACAATGGTTGTCTCTCCACTCCCTCTCTTTACAGACAACCTGGATAACGAACAGTCCTCATTCCCAATGTCTGTTCTTATCTGCATTCTCTCAACCCACTACAGTTCACAGAACACCACTCAAGTTGTTCTCATTGAAGTTACTCATATTTTTGTTGCCAAAATGAATAGTTAATTCTTGTCACTATCTTATGTCAGCTCTGAGAAGAGCTAGACACCACTGAGCACATCCTGGACTGTGAAGATCTCTTCTGTACTGACATCTGGTATATTTTGCTCCTGACGTTTCTTTTGTTGTTTTAATCTTCTGGTCTCTTCATGGGCTATTCTTTTACCTTAGGAACATCTCTGTGGCATGTTACCCTACAGCAGCTGTTCTCAGTCTGCTGATCATAACTTGTTTTGGGGTCATGTGTTAGACATCCCATATATCAGATATTTACATAACAATTCATAACAGTCCCACAATTACAGTTATAAAGTAGCAATAAACCAATTTTATGGAGGGGTCACCACAACATGAGGAACTGTATTAAAGGGTAGCAGCATTAGAAAGTTTGAGAACCATTGTCCCTAAATGTCCCTGGGCTACCAATTTAACAAATGTTTATGATGTTCAATTCTGTCTCTTCTCTATTCACTCTCACAAGACTGAAACTGAAAATCCAACTGCCTCCTGGTCACATGAAGACACATTGTCTATATTCTTTTAGTGACACACAGAAAGAACATTAAGTTCATATATTTTACAGAGATGTACAAAAATAGACAAGCCTCTCAGTTCTTATAATCTCAGACAGAGGCACACTTGGGCCTGATACAGATGGTGCAAAGTAGGACTGCAGAAACAGGCAGGTGACACTTGGCTCTGCATATGACAAAGCTCCTGGGGCAGGGGAAGAGTTTTGTTGAAAGATACCTTCAGAGGCACAATCACGGTAAGGTCTAACACCACTGATGTGAGCTAGAGAAGCTGTGTTTTAGTCTTCTGGACCACAAAAGACGGAGATGAGAAAGTTACCAGGACCATCCAAGAGACGTGCGGTTTGGTTTAGCTTACTAAGGTCTCAGAAAACAGACACTTCAAGCTCACTATCATATTTGTGTATACATTTTCCCTGTTCTCTTTTCTCACAAAGCCTCAAACCCACTTTTGTTGTATCTTTTCCCCCTTGGAGGGCCTTCACGTACCCGTGTCATCAGCTGAGCCAGAAAACAAGATCCATGGTTGTCTCTTCTTCTCTTGACCATTCCATAAGTCACCATATCCTATGAGTTTTATTCTCCTAACATCTCCTAAGGCTGCCACCTCCTGGGATGGGAAGGTAGATGGGTGGTTGGGTGTTTGCCTAAGTAAGTATTTGCCTGAGTAAGGTATAGGTCTGGTTCAAGGCACTGCAAAGGGAATTGATGCCTAGATAAATGCAGAGACCTTTCCCTCCTACCTGTTTTCTTGAGCACCTAATATTTCTTTCAATATTTCTTGTTTCACTTTCCAACCGTTTCCAGTCTGGATCATTTCAATTCACTCTGTGAGAGCCTTGAAAAACTTAGCTTACAGATCCTTCTCTTTGACTAAAGGCTGTAGTAGCTCTTGCTGGCTTTCAAGTTTGTTCTTTTCAGTAATCAACCTTGGACCTTCAAAGCTTTTCACTGGTGATCAGGCACCTGCTTCCTGTCTAGGCTTGTTTCTCCCAGGCTGAGCTCCAAGCTGCTGAGGGGGGTGGTGGTGGGGTTAGATTCCTGACTCAGATCTCAATTCCAGCACCTAGCATAGGCCTGACAGAATGTGCCTACTTAAGAAAGGCTCATATTTGAAGAAAAGGGAAAGCAATGTGGCTTTCCCAGGCTCACCTTGTTCCTCAGCCTCTTTCCTATTGCTCTGTTGCTTCCATGAATGAGACCTCATTCTGTCTTCTGACTCCAAATATTGTTTCTTTTTGTTCTAGCTTGCTCGCCTGACATGGTGGACAAGGAACTGTCCCATATCTGACCTGCAGAAGAAAGCCTCTGTGAGTGTAAACAAGACAGAGGGTGACAACTCTCCAGGACTGGCAGAGAGGCCAGTGGTGGAAGGCCCTGGAGGAGATGGGGAAGAAGCAAACACCACCCAGGGGCCTGAACAACCAGGAGGTAGGTTGAGTGCATCTTGGGGCAACATAATGGGGCCTAAAGGAGCTTGAGGACAAGCATACCGCTGAGGCTCCCCCAAGGACCACTTTTGTGGTGACTGGGGATGTAAGACTCTGAGAGAATCCAATCAAAATCACCCTTTAACTTTCCCATGTTACTATTAAACCAGTTAAGACAGATGAGACTCTAAAGACTGACTTGATAACTGAGGTGGCTAGGTTTAGATTCTATCCACAGAGAGGTATACTTCCTAATACTGAACCTAGCATTAGACAAAGATGCCCACCAATGCTCCAGAGAATCTAACCAACAGCCTAGCAGAAGAAACTGTGGGCAGAAAACTGAACAGCATTACATTAGCTTACTCCATGTGGAAGGTAGCATAGTTTTCCTTCGTGGGACCTAGTGGGAAGAGCATGCCCGCATGTTATTGTCATAAAGATATTGCAGAAAATGGCTACTTTTCTGCCAGGTCCTTATAACTGCTTATGCCTTCCCAGAGGTTGATAATTTTGTTAGGATAGTACATTAGTTAAATCAAAGCCACAATGTGCCAGTTGACAATATAATGAGGTCATAACCTTCCTGTAGTGAGATTAAATAATAATATTAAAGCATCACAATGATAGAATGACATCATTATTGAGATTGTTTTCAGTTATAATATTCCCAAGGAAAAATTTAAAATTTCAAAAGTCACATCGGTTCCAAGTCCAAAGTCAATTATCTTTCCCTTGTGAAGTAGAAATTTAATAAAATGTAAGTGCTACGTTTATTTCCAGCCCTAGTTAAAGTCTCACTTCCTGGATGGAGCTGAGATTCTCTAGCCAGCTGCTTTACATAGATTTGAGCAAAACTACCTCAGACTTCAGAAAGTCTGGGTGTTGTGCCTGCCTCTGCGGTGCCCACCTTTTTGTAACTGCAGGAAGTTAAACCAGACACCTAGCAAAGCATTGCTGCTGGACCCGCACATTTGTCAATGCTCTGCCTCCCAGTTCTGCATTCACTGGGTCTGAAACCCTGCATGGCCCCTCATACTTGAATGGAGCCCCTCTTTTTAAGGCCCTTCACCTTCATTCAAAGTCCTCATGCTATACAAATGACCACTATCAAGTAGCTAAAGACATCATGAGCTACAGAGCCACCAACATCTAAGGTTTCTTGCCCAAGCAGTGGTGGTCAAAGGTCAGTGGAGCAGTCTGAAAACTCTCTCTCATAAGTGTCCCAAGTAGACACAGAGATGCTCACTTCAGAGGCACCACAGGCCAAAGCCACTCTTTCTGGACATACAGATCATCCCACTTAGACTCACTGTAATTTGCTTGGCAAAATGAAGCTTCATTTTTCTTTTGCTAGTTATATAACCATGTACCTGATTTTGAGTGGGTCTTAAAACTGCTTCTCCCCTCACTACACAGACTGACTTTGCCCCTACAAAGTTTATGAGCTGAAAAGACCATCCTTCAAGCAGTCGTGTAGGTGAAGCAGCTATGAGGGAAGAGATGAAAGAGTGTTTCCAGAGGGGAAAGGGGTCCATGGCTGGACCCCAGAGCTAGATAGACATACAGTTACAGAGACAGACTGGCTCCTTGCTGGTCCCTGTGTTCATGACAAATAGTTCCTGCCAATACAAAGGAATGCCTGCTCCCTGTGAACAGCTGCACCTAAGAGAGGAAAGTGAGCCTCTGAGTTAGCCATGATATCCAGAGAAAATACAGCCCCAATGCCTCAAGGCCAACCCTATTACAAAACACCATTGTGGAGGAAGGAGAGGGACAGGGAAGTTTATGGAGTTTATGGAGTGGATCCTTGTTGAAACAAAGGAACCTCAAAACAGGAGGGAAGCAGCCCCTTAAAGCTTAGCGTTGTGAGCTGTGTAGTCACAAGCTCAGCAACTCTCTCCATACTACTGGCCTGGCCCAAATTCCTTAGGTACCTGAGCGTTTGGACATCCTCACAAAGCCTCACCCAACCCCAGCATTTGTAGCCCTTACAGTGTTTTAACTACCATTCTCATTGGATGCTTAAACAACTCAGAATAATGCAGGCCATGTCATAAGGCAAGTGAGGGAGAAAGTTCCTGCCATTAAGGGAAACAGGATGATTTATTTATGCAAGGCTGAGAGCAGAGCTGGGACTGGCTGCTAGGTTCCTAACCTCCAGTTCAATGTCAGGCCCCATATGCAGGGAAATGAGTCTGTCTGGTTTAAATGGTCCCCTTTCTGAGTAAAATAGGCTTTTTTCTGTCCCCACTCTGCACTGGTGCTCTGAATGACAAAGCATCATGCTAGCTCCAACACACTATCCCCATAATGAAATGCTCCTGAGCTGTGACCATTTGGATGCCATTGCCAAGGTCACAGTTCACCCTAGAGACTCAACTTATCACCCATCCTGTGCCTTACAAAGTGTCCTCCCCATGTGCACCCCATTCCTTCCTTCCATGTCTTACCATCCCCCACTCTCTCATCCACTCTCTCATTCACTCTCTCAACCTTCCCTTTCTCCTTCCTTTCTTCTTCCTCTGTCCCTTCTCCTCCATTCCTTTTATGGCCTGTCTGTCACCCAGCCCTACACAGGTCTTGGGGAAAATGGCTCTGGAACTGGTTCTGCGGACTCTCGGGGGCCCCACAGCAAGCCCTGGGCCCAGCTGAGAAGGCTGTGCTGGAGCAGAAATTGACCAGCATTGAAGAGGAGCCGCTCTGGAGATGTGTCTGCAATATCAACGCCATCGTCCTGCTGGCCATCAACATCTTTCTCTGGGGCTATTTTGCGTGACTCCACAGACTAGGATTTATTTGAAATGAGTAAAAATCCCTGAACCCTGGTCAGTCCCCAAGACCAGAGACAGGCTCTCTTTCCAACTTGCTGTGCTAACTGCAGACCACAGAGGATGAGCCTGAAAGAGCCCGTGAGAAGCATCCAGTCCTACATACTTGTCAAGTGAAGATATGAAGGACTAGAGCTATCACTAGGATCTCCCAGGGTTCCACAGTAGGACTCACACTGGGTCTCCAAGTCCAACTCTCTTTCTACCATACTGCTCTATAATCCTACCTCAGAAAAAATTATTCCCTCAGTTTATTCAACAATCTTCATTGTATGTATATCTTCTGGTTAGACACATAGTAAGAAAATGGGTAGAGAATTTTATAAAAAATTATCCATGTATACTGGGTTTCCCATTTCTCACCCTTGCTCCCTTTCTGCTTCCTGTCTCCCTCTCCCTTGGCCTCCTTGACTCTCAGCAAGATGAGTCCAGTGAGGAGGGTCTTATTATGCCATTGGTTGCCATTGTGCCTGCTAATCCCATGAGAGTGAAGAGCACAGGTAAGATGACAGGTATGGAGGCAAGTGCTCCAAGACCAGGACACTCCTTGGCACAGCTCTAATTCTGCTTCTGCCCCAACACTCTCTCTACATCCTAGGAACTCAGAGTCCAGCAGGAGAGATAAAATGTATTGAAAACAACATGAATCAAAAAGTCCTAGGGAGCAGGGAAGACAGCCTGGGGATGGGCACACATGACCTTTATCCCACCACCTTTACTTGCCAAGACTCCTTCCCTGAAATATATCTCAGACTGTGTCCTTGAACAACTTCCCAGGACAATTTCCAAATGCCTCACACTGGATCAAGGTCTCACTCAGCCCCCACAATGCATACACTGTCCTGTAGTGCTGTCTCCCTTGTAGATGCATGCCTAGAAGCAGGGATCAATGGTGATGCCCAACCTGACTTTGTACCTATCATCAAAAGAAGCCAATAGATGCTTATTGGATTCATGTGCTCTTCCATGCCCTGTGCCTTTTGCTCTCTGGATGGTGGGAAAGAGAGTTGTGGAGTTGGCTTCTGGAGAAGAGACTCCTTCAGGTATCAGAAGCAGCTGAGTCTCAGGCATTTGGGTTGAATGGTACAGATGAGCTGAGGATGACCCTTCTCCCTGTCCTCTGGTCCTCTGCAATGTACTTTTGATCACCATGACAATGATTGCTCATTTTAACTGAAGACAAATAAAACTCCATTTCATTGACCTGCAGACACAGCTGCATCTCTGAACCTCTCCTCTTATAGCTGCCTCCAGATTTTTCTTTCAGTAACTTTCTGATCTCACTGATCCTTTGAATCAGAGAGTGCCCTAAGCCAGTCCATCTGAGAAGCTGTACTCTCCAGCAGTGTACTGTAAGAATCAGGACATTTCTAATTCAGCTCTTATAATGGAGTACAACGTAGTGTAAAGGCAAGAGCCCCATGGTGGGAGCCAGGGCACCTGAGTTCTGCTCCCAGCTCTCCAGATCTGAATAAACAAGAGAATTTTCAAAACTGCTTGTTCATGGGATGATGAGGTTGTGAGTGGAGACAGAGTCAGAAGCAAACAATAAAATGGTGTGGCAAGAAGTTTATGGGTGAATGTGAGCTCTGAAAAGAACCTCTGGAAAAAAAGAAGCCTTTAGTGGGGTTAGGACATAGTCAAAATCCTACAGTGTGTCAGCAGTTACTATGGTCTATTGAAATAAAAGATGTTGCAAAGGTATGAGCAAGTCACTTTTGACATAGGTGGACGCAGAGAAGCATGGGGTTAGCCTGGCCTAGCTGCCTTCAGAGGCCTGAGCCATGGGTTTTTCACGGTAGAATCCAGGGTTCCTGGTACATGATGTGCCTTCCATTTCCTGAGAGACTGAGGCACTCCTTCAGGCAGTGAAGCTTTCAGGCTGCTTTATGTTTCTCTGTATGTTCCCTTGGAAGTTGAGGAAGCATAGAAGCCTGACAGGACAATTGGTTTTAGACATTAATTTTGTGTACCCTGTAAAGTTTACAAATATTATTGTATCCAGGCAACAACAACTATAATGATCCTTTTTCAGGATAAAGATATAAAAGTCTGATTGCTTTCAATAAAACTATCACAGCCTCCGTCTTGCTGTGGCCCCTCCAACTGTCCTGGCTTAACTCCTGGAGGCCAATGTCAGGTATCTTTGGCCCAGTAAGTGTGCTCTGGAGCTGGAGGACAGGACATTTGGAATTCTGAATCCACCCCAAGGTCTTGGGTGGGTCTACCATAGGCTCACAAATAGCCCCCAAGAGAGGGGGAAAGAGAGAGAGAGAGAGAGAGAGAGAGAGAGAGAGAGAGAGAGAGAGAGA